CCAAGTCAAATTTTGAGAAAGAAGATAAGTCAGAATCTAAGCAATAATCCAAACAAACGGCCAAAGCTGAATAATATTAACGATTCTATCCAAATAAACAAAAAAAGACAATCTCAGTCAAAAGAACAGGTATAATTATACAAATACATTTATATAACATACATCAATTAAGTGTCTGTAATATCAACAGCATAACAACATAAATGGTTACTRCAGTGTTAATCTTTTTACATTTTTKCTGAATTAATCATGAGTCCCYGCCACATTTAACTAGTTTTTATAACTAAATAAAATGTATAATAATGCTTTAATAATGTATGGTTCCACTAGTTATATGTGTACTGCTTATGTATTCCTCTAATGCTACTTGCAGGATATCTTGTTGTCATTAACTCAAAATCTTATTCCTGTCAATTATTGGCAAAATCAAATATATTATGTAACAGATTGAACAAACAAACATTGATGTTAAAAAAAATATATTTTAATGTACAACAACATTTTTTTAATTTTTAATTTGCATCTATCATCTTGAATTTCAAAAACATTGTGTGAGTATCTTTTTAAAATGCAATTTTGAAAATCCATTTCTTAGTGCATCTTTACGTTGTGATATAAAGGTACCTTATCAATTTTAAGTTAAGCTTAAGGTTTAAGAAACAACAATTAATATTACATTATGTTAATCAAAAGCATGCACATAATTATTTTACATTTTCTAAAAACAAAATTTTTAAAGATTATAAATATCACCCCAATTGAAAATAATAGTTCAATAGTGTATWAAAAATGTAAGGCACAAAACTGATGGTTGTAACCTGTTGAATATGTAAGAATGAATATAATTGTATGGGCGAGAACCATTTTGACAAAAGCCATTTCAGTCGTTTTAAAATTAGGTTTGGGTATGGTTTAAACAATATACCATTTTTTAATAGACTGTAAAGTCAGMMAAAGTTTTTAAAAATTCATATTAAATACAGTTATAATATAATATTTAAAATTATTGGTGCTGATTCGGTATGCGCTCTACCAACAAGTTTCTGTTTTGGTGTGCGCTCTACTGAAAAGTGTCTTAGTTGTTATATTTATATTTTTTTATATTACTTTATTGATAACTGCTTACAGACAAGTGACAGAGTCGGTTATTTTATATTTTATTAATGATTCTTTATAGACTAGTGTCTGAGTCTGTATGATCTACAGTCGTTATACGTCGTTTTGACTGAGATTTATTTTATATTCATTCAAATTTAAGGTACCAAAAGATMATTAGAATTTAGAGATAATCGTTATTATTAACAGTTGAAATACCCAACATATTATATAAAACCGAGGCAGATAACGCACATTATACAGTAATTGCAGTCCAATATCCGCATACCGAAGGTAGAGCGAGTGTAGAACACAAAAACCGGTAGAGTGCATACCGAATTAGCACCAAATTATCATTATATGTCATTAATTTTTATTTTACTTGACAAAAAATATGAAACCTCTTAGACAAGGGTTATTATAGACATTAGTACTTGAGTACTAAGATTTGAGCTATGTATTCTTCTGTGGCCATCTCTCAACTGARTGTTTCAAATATATTATTGATATTTGGGTAAATAAATCTTATCTTATAAATCCCTATTTAATTATTTCTAGTCAAAACAAYTACTATTTGTCTAACACATTTTTAATAGTTTTATTCACTAATCATTCCATTATTTTAAAATTACAGACAAACCTATTTTTGAAGCCAAAAATACCTGAAAAAACATTGATAAGTAATAACAGTACAAAACA